TGAGTCATTGACTCTTTGAGCAAATCTAACTTCGTAATCTGGTTGGTTCCGTGCAGCTTGACATTGGTACAGTATAGTGGGTAGATTTTTCCATAGTGTAGCAAATCATTGAATCTGCTTTCACAGGCGATTCTTCCTTTCAGCTGCAGAGGTTCCTCTGAAACCCTTTGAACCGTTAGAATTGTAGGTTTGACTGACGATGTGCCAAGTCTTGCCCGGGTTCCACGAGAAAGGCTCTTGAGAGCATGCAACGTTTCTGGCAGCAGCGATATCGGGACATTCTTGCGTTTCACTGTGGGGTATTTCCTTTTTCCTGAAAAGTGTGTACGAAATACTGCAAAAGCCGTCTCTCTCACTGTGCCGCGATACCTGTTTCTTTTGAATTTGGAACTCGCTTGTAACCTTGGAGTATACGCGCATCTGAATTGGTGCACCTTTTGACAATGATGATTTTTGTGGGCGCAATTTCTCACAGAATGTCTCCCATCCCCGTTCCCTAATGCAGTCAGGGGCTTCCGGTTTGGCACATTTCCATTCACATTTTGGCCACAAATGACTGTATGACAGGGCTGGAGTTCTTCTCTGTGATCCGAAGTTGCAATCATTTCTGGGTCATGATTCAAACTGAGCAGCTTTTGGTATTTAGATACAATTTCCTGGGATGTTAACCTCGGTTCCGGTTCCGGTTCCCATTCCACTTGAATGTTCCGTTTTTCTGATAACAACTGAATTAACTGCCGCTGTGATTTTTCAAACTCAAGCTGCCGCTGCTGAAGTAGGGACTGCATCTGCTCGAATGAAATGGCCATGATTGTTCAACACTTCCATCGCCACTGTTATAAATGCTTCCTTCTTTACTGTTGTAACGCTTCTTTCTTTACCTCTACTCTATGCCACTGACGACTGTGCTACTGCTGCTAGCTGCCCCTTGAGACTGCGACTGTCTGACTGCTCAGTCACGCGCCCAGCCCACCAACGGAATACAGAAGACCAAGGTTCGGTAGACAGAGAGGCGTATTGTATGAGAGCACGGCCCAATAAATAGGTTGTGAGCAACTACTTAAGCAACAATATTGGAGATGCTAATTGGCGTTAATTAACACAACTCAAATGGTTCAAGTTCGTGATCCAACTTGCCCCTGATTCCGCATCAATTCGCATTTTGATCTATAGTCGAGTTCGATCTCTAATTGCAGATCGATGCACTTTTACGGCACTGCTCTCGGCTTGATTGCTAGCTGTAAGCTCTCTCCGTAACACCATCACTGGGGAAGTCAATTCAGGTATCAACAAGGCCCGTGTGGCTTTCCAAAGACCCAACTATCTGTGAAGACGACGGGATATCAGCCTGTCAGCGAAAGGTAGGGTGTATAACGCTGCGGTAAGGCCAGTCTTACTGTATGGATCAGATACCTGATCAGTTCTCGGCGAATACATTAAAGCCATGGCCGTGTTTGATCAGCGGTGCTTGCGGAGTATTGCTCACTTCTGGTGGGAACACCGAATAAGCAATGCTGAGGTCCGCTAGTTGGTTTTTGGCAAGAAGCTTTCTGGTTCCTCACTCGAGTGTTTACTCAATCGTAGTCGCTTGCGTTGGCTAGGCCATGTTCTCCGTATGCCCGTTGACCGGCTTGCCTATCAAAGTACTCTGTCATGCGAGTTGGGTAAACGCTCACTGGATGCAATTGAAGCTCACTGGTTTCATATTCACCAGACCTTACTAGCAGCGGGAAAATCCTCATGTAGTATATCTAATCGCCAACGTGGACAGTGGGTCTCTTCTCAGTCTTTGGAGCTTATAGATGCTCGCCGGCATATTCCGGCTGGAAGCAAACACAATGAAACTCGCAAAGAGCTTCGGACAAAACGCCGTGCTTGCCTGAAGAGAGACCGTGAATCCTGGTGGTCTCATCGTGCTTCAGAGATGAAAATGGCCGCTGCCCTTGGTAACCATCGTAGGTTATTCCTGTTGATACGGGAAATGGGCAGCAGGAGACGTGGTATTAGTGAAGGTATACGTGACGAGAGTGGACAGCCTATCCACAACTTGACAAAACGCTTGGAGCGTTGGGCTGTGCACTTTGAAAGGCAATTGTTATATTTCTCGCCGGCCACTGATCACCCCGCTCCGTGGGCTGTCCCTTTGGATCCACCCTCGCTCAGAAGTCGAACGTGAGGTCGCAGTGTTGAAGTTGAACAAAGCCGCGGGACCAGATTACCTTCTTCCAGCCCTCTTCAAATTCAGGGGACGTGCTCTGGTGGATAATTTGCACGAGTTACTAGTGAAACTATGGGAACAGGAAACTGTCCCAACCGATTGGAGCCGCTCCGTCATAGTCCCAATTTTCAAGGGAGGCTGACGATCGCAATGCGGCAGCCATAGAGGAATCAGCCTGATCTCCATCGCCTCCAAATTGCTTGCCTCTGTCATCTTTCACAGACTGACTGCCACTCGTGAAAGCCATATTTGCGCAGAGCAAGCCGGGTTTCGTCGAGGTCGTGGCTGCATTGACCACATCTTCACTTTGCGTCAGTTGTTGGGGCACCGTCACTTATATTGGCGGCCCAGGGTTGTCGTGTTCCTCGATATCAAAGGTGCATTCGATTCGGTGGATAGACGTGCACTTTGGGTCTGTCTACTCAGTAAAGGTGTGCCCGAGCAATATGTAACTATTATCCGAGCATTATACGCGCGTAGCACGGGCAGAATGAGGGCTTACGGCAAGCTGTCGTCGCCCTTTATTATCTCCAGCGGTGTGAGACAAGGATGCCCGCTGTCATCTTTCCCCTTGAACTTCGCTATTGACGAAGTCATGGAAATCGCGTATACGGGACACGACTTAGAAGGTATGCATCTGCTCCTAGGTGAACGAATTCTTGTCTTGGAGTATGCTGACGATATCGCCCTCATCTGTGACAGCTCACAAACGTGCCAGGCGTCACTGGACAGATTAGCACTGGCTGTGCGTCCCTTCGGGCTTTGCTTCGCATCCTCTAAATGCAAAGCGTTCTCCAAGATTGGTCTGGACCGCCTCCTTCGCTGACCCTTGGTGGGGATCAGCTAGAATTCGTTTAAAAGTTCAACTACCTAGGAAGTTGTATCAGCACGCGTGGGATTGAAGATGAGATCACGAACCGTGTAGCAAAAGCTCGAGGCGCTTTTGCTAGCCTTCGCAACCTATGGCCCCAGCCCGACGTCACTCTCGCCCTGAAGGATAGAGTGTACAATGCAGCGGTACGTTCGACCTTACTATACGGTTGTGAAACCTGGTTCCTTAGATCAGCGAACCTGAAGAGGCTAGTTACGTTCGACTACCCGTGTCTTCGCAGTTTGGCTTACATCTGGTGGGAGCACCGCGTCAGCAACGAGCATGTTCGACGCCTTGTTTACGGCACAGGAAAAGGAAATGAACCGCTCAGCACCGTCATTTCACGCACCAGACTCCGATGGCACGGCCACGTGTTACGCATGCCATCCCACCGGCTCCCGTGACGTGCGCTGTTTGCGCACCGGGGGTGTGGATGGAAGAAGAGGAGGGGTGGCCAAGCGATGACTTGGTCCAGAGGAATGAATGCCCTCACTTCGAAGCTGGCCTCGGTTGGAGCGTCTCGACTCCCTGGTTGGGTTCCGAAAGACGATGAACACGTCTGGTTGGCTACACTTGCAGACATGGCTAGGAGCTGACCTCAGTGGCGTTCGTGATGAGTTTCTGTGTCTCACACCATCCCTCTTAGGCTCCCCCTGCAATCTCGATCTCACCATTTAGCCTTATATAAGTTTGTATAGTATTTTTTTTGTTGAATAGTGGCCGGCTGTTAGCTTACCGGAATGATGCACATCCGTTACCGGTAGCTCAGCTGGCTTGCACCAGTTGCATTTTTTTCTACTTTTTTCTTCTGTGTATTGCAAGACAATAGCTTAGGTGTTTCCCACCTCTAGCCAACGTGTATAATTGTGATGTATGATTTTGACCGGCTTCCTCGGTGTACATCATGCGCCATGGCTGCACAAATTTGGGTGAAACCATGAGGCGGACAGTCCATGACGTAGCATAGGGTCATGAATAAATTCACTGAGAGACTTGGTCAGACGTGCGTGCCGTCTTCGTAGATGGGAGCCTCGGGATCGTCCACACCAACAGTTGGAGACCCCATCAGACGTGGCGCAGTCACTTGTGTCTTTGCACTCGGTTTCTTTCATCTATTTGTTAATTTTCGTTCCATGATGATTAATTTAATGCACTTCCTTCTTGTCTCCATTCTCTTTACATTCTATTTGCTTTTGACCCCACTATTTTAACGTTGTTAGTTATTGTGATTCTTGCGATATGAGTCGGGGCAACCGGATCTACCGCACTTTGGTGCCCGGATCATAGTTGTTCAGCTAAAATAACTGTACTGAAACCATGCTGACACAATCACGTTGTGTGGTGAAGGTTCGTCTTAGCTGGACTCAGGGAGACAGCCAGCACTCACTTATTATTATCATCCAGTAATCGTCTTAGCAGCTTACATGTCACCTCAATTGTTTCCGGTTTATATGGGTAGGCGTTGCTCTGGGAACCAACCCTGTCCTCTACATGTTCGTGATATGTATGATAGTGGAGGATGTGCCGCGCTATATCGCAGTTAGATATCAGTCATGGCGGTCCGCTGCCGTCACCTATGGCCCGGTGACATAAGTTGCTGGTTCGTAAGAGTAAGGTCATGGGTTCGAAGCCGGCAGGGTTTGGCGGGTGCGCTCTACTTACAAGTCCCATTGGGACGAAACGTCCGTCTAGCGCTTTCCTGATTGAGTGCTGGCTATCTGCCTGTGTGTAGCTGCGACGAATCTTCACCAAAACCAATGAATTCGCATAGGGGCGGGCGTCCTCACTTTATACTCAGCCCACACGTGACTGATGGTGGTCATGCGGTAGCGAAGCGCCGTTACATCGTACAGCTGACAAATTTTACTACTCACTGACAGTCATATTGTGTTCGTTCACTATCAACCCCAGCTGTCCCCATCAGACCACCCGTCCAGACGCGTTTCAAGTTGCCCCTCATCAACTGGACCGTGCTGCGCAGTCAACAACTCCGTGGTACCGTTTTCGTCGGGATGAATGATGAAGAAGTGCTGAACCATATCGACACCGAGCGGTTTGAGGAGTTGTTCAAATTGTCCAGTCAATCGGTGGCCGTTAATATCACTTCAAAAATGGTCAATGGATTTGAGGACGGTCCTGGTCGGCCGACGAAAAAGAAGTCGCTTATGGATCCAAATCGCCATAGGTGAGCGTCGGTGTTGTATTTTTCTTTGTGGCCCTTGTGTATCGGTGTTGTGTCAAATTTGACCAATCGTTGTTTCTGTATCCAGTTTCTTTTACCAAACCCTGACCGTTTCATCTATCATTTCGGCACATTACCGTCTACTCACTGTCAACACACATGCCCGTGAGAGAATCTTTCTCGGTGCACATTGTCTAACGAGTTGATTTTACTTCGCTTTCTCAAACAGTCCATGTGCGAGTTGTCGCTGTGTTTGATTCCGATTAGTCTCCTCCTCCGCTTGCTAACCGAGTCATCGATCTAATGAACGGACGCTTACATCTCTGACCCTGAGCTACATCCTCCTCAAGCTGCTCGTTCCTGGAGACTTTGTCTCTAGCCTCATACCCTAAGTGTTCGTAATCAGATCCGGGATTGAAGTGTTTATGAACATTTCCATCAAATTGTTGGCTTTAGCATGCTAATTGTGTGCTATCTCTCTTCATTCGTTAGTGCGTTGCGCTTCCAATTGTATTTACATGCGTTCTTTTATCTCCACGGTTTTGGGGATCGGTGTGGTGACTCCATGTTTCTCTTCACCATAATCTGCTCGATATTCCCACTCACCTATCAATGTCGGCAGCTACGCTCTCTACTCTCACCTTTTCTTCACCTATCAGATGCATTGGCGTATTGTTACGTTTCCTAGAATCGGAAAAGTACACTCCGGAGCGTTTGTGGATTGACATCACGCGCCTTGAACTGAGCCAGGATGTTGCAGATCGCATCCTGCACCAGTTACCAACACAAGAAGAGATGAAGACATACTTGAAATACGAATTTACCGATCGGCTCAATGTGGCAGACTTGACTGACGAAGACCGTTTGTTACTGCATTTGTGCAAAATCGAACGCCTCGGTGATCGTCTGGAAATCATATTGTTCATGAATTCATTTGAGGATACGGTCAGCACTTTATACCCCGTAAGACTGATTTTCAAGGCTATATAACAGTCACACTCCGTTAGCTTGTTAAAATTTTCTCAACTTATTGATGCTATCTTTACCCACCGTTGCAATATTTTCGGTCCCTTACTTTGCTGACTGACGGTAACTCAATCTTGTGCTCATCTCCCTCTTCCTTTTGAGGTTTAAGCAGTGACACTTTTCGACAACTCAGTATGGAATCGGCCGGTGGCCGAAAGGATGAGGCATCTGCTTTGTAGCCCGGAGGTCGCTGCTTCCAGTCTGCGTAAATGCGGGCGGTCTCACAGTATCTGCAGCCCACGCGGAACTAACGCTGTTCTTAAAGTGTCAGCACGGTGTACCTGCGCGTTGCTGATGCCTTCCCTTGCTTTCATGGTCGTCTTATCTGGCGTGTGAACCGCGTTTTATACGACGGAAATTCTTCGCTATTTTGATACTCCCATATTGCAGCACACAATCCACAGGGAATTTTCTACCACAACAAAAGTAGCTTGCCAGGACGTTTCATTTTTTCTTCCTGCCTTATGATCGAAATGATCGTGCTTCAATGCATCCCATATGGTCCATCAGAGGTGTTGTTATCGCCAAGGAACCGGTTGGCAATCACCGATGCAAGTGGGGCTCTAGCCCGCTCCTTATGCAAGTGCTGCTGCATAACTAGACATTATGCATTTATCACTATTGTCGTGTGCCCTGTGCTTTCGCCACCCCCAAGGTGCCGACGCAGATGACGCCAGCTATCCACCAACATTGCACATCGCTACTTCTCTACCATATAACCGCAATCACGAGTTGGGATGCTCTAGGCCTGCCCGAGTACATGCGGGAGGCTGCAGACCAAATGCCTGAGCAACTTCATCGAGCCCCACCGCTATCGCTGCAGTGCTGTGGTGTTTCGTGATAGTTATTGGCTAACTCCCTCTGGACGTAATCGATTGTTTCACTTACTTTGGGAGCTAAATCACATTGATGACTCAACATGCCACTGAGCTTGTCCAGAGAACTTCGGTTACTTAAGACTACAGAGCATCGGCTTTTCTAACAATTACATGACTTCGTGATTTGGCTATCATCAGTGACCGGATCAGATGCATGTCCACTTCACACCGAATAATATTATTAAGTAGCTACTTATAGTTGCTCATCTTTCTGTCCGGAACATTACTCATATCTGGTGAGCGATTCTGCAGCTCACCAGCAGGTTCTAACAGCGATCCCTCTTGTGTTAATGTGGAATACCTGATGAGATTACACGACCGGTGCCGATGGAGCCACGTCCCTTTCTCTCCCGTTGACCTCCCATAGGAATCTTGGATGGGCGCACTGACTGCCAGGCCAGATAACGCCACAGTGTCGCTGCCCATCTTTTTCGATAGGGTCCACGGGTTCCATCTAACCATTGTTTCTTCTGCATCATCATTCCGCACTTTAGCTAGAGGTGAGAAGCAACTCATCTCTTGTGCTGTAATGCAGTTCAATTAGATGCTTGTTAAAAACAGCTCACGTTGTCTTAGGTATTGGGGGTTACTGCTTGCATCTAGACACTCCAAAATCGTTCTCGTTTGCATTCAACACGTAGAGAGCAGGACTACGACTCGTACCAAACCAGTCATGGAGCGTAGTGTTACGGACAAGCAAATTCAATTCCCTATCCGCCTCAAATACGGTCCCAGTAACCGAATCGATCGACTTCCACTTCCAAATGCATTACGGTCCTGATTGAGGTAACGCATCGCAATCCATTCGCACGAATTTGGCTTCAGTATGACACCTCCAATGAGCATTATGCCTGGTTTATATTGTGCGTCAAAAATTAGGTCGTGGTGGAGTGGCAAAGGAACTCATAACACAAACGCTACTGAGGTCGGCTCTTCGCTGTCAACAAGTATATCTAACCAAACGTGCTCATCGTCTTTCGGCCTCCAATAGGAGGCCGAGAGGCTCCGATTGAGACCAACTTTGAAGTGAGCGACTTCATTCCCCTTGACCAAGTCATCGATTGGTATCCCCTCCTCTTCTTCCATTCATACCACGGTAGCGCAAGCAACACACGTCGCGGGAGTCGGTTTTCTGATATCCGTAACATATGGCCCAGACACCAGGTTTGGTGCGTGGAACAGCAGTTATCCTAAGCGATGCACTTACCCTTCTTGTGCCATAAACAGGACGCCGAACATGCTCATTGCTCACGCGGTATTCCCATCAGACATGAGCTCATCTGCTAACGCTGCGATGGTCGAATGTCGTTGGCCTGTTTATGTCTGTCGCGTTGATGGGCTAGTTTTCACAACTACAGCACGGCTGAACGTACGGCAGGGTCAATAATGTCGTGTCGGCGCCATAAGTGGTGGAGATTAACAAAACCGCCTCGGACTTTTGTTGTGCATATTGGGACCTCATCCTCTTTTCCACATGCGATGATATAGCTGCCCAGATAGTTGGACTTTTGAAGGATCTCTCGTTGATTTATATCAATGCTCAACGCAGGAGGTATCCCTTACCATTCTTGAAGGAAAGCTTTGCATTTGGAGAGTTCAAAACGCAGCCCAGTACGATTGGCAGCCTGTGTTGTTTGGCAAGTTTGTAAGCTCTCGCAGATTGTAATCAATAACATCGGTATGCACAAAAGGGAAAAGTCTGCCATCTGGAGGCAACCCTACTACTTAATTCGTTGTTTACCATCATGAACCATCACTCGAACACATACTCTTTCCTTCAGCATGTGTCTTGTTTGTACAACCTGACAATTCTAATGTTGGATTACATCATTTGCGCTGCTATCTGTTTAGTTGCACATACACTAACTTGTTCGTGGCCGATTCAAATTCTCTCACGAGTTAGTTTGGAGACGATCTCCTTAGAAACCCAGGTTCTAAGTCTCTATCATACTAACACTCCTTAAGTACCCACTTTTGAAAAAAGGTACTGTTTTTACATCGCACCTTTTTTGCTCCCGGTATATTTAGATTCCAACGGCTTCTTGTCACGGCCAACCAAACCGCTAGATTTTTGCTCACTAACCGAATGTCATCTTGACAAGCTGGTTGTAGTTATTAGTTCACTTTTGACGCAGCGGCCTTATTCTAGGGCTAATGTGTTTTCACTATTTCTGTCTATGGTGACCGACTCCATGGCACTCTACACTGTTGCTTCATTTATGCCGGCCAACCGCCTTTTATGGCACATGCATTACACCCTACGTCTAATGTGCCCGGCCGTAGTGCACGAATGAGTGGAAGTCTCTCCACCTGTTCCTTTTCCTGCGTGTACCATAGTGTTCTATGGAGTAGAACTTGGTACGGTTGTTTTCTCTGGCACCACCTTCGGAACACCGGTGCTCGGATGTGAACAGTACGGGATGTTGATGAATCATTGTCCACCTCACCCAAGTGGCCTACTTTTGGGGTCGGCGCAGCTGTCTGTGTGCGCTTGGTCGGCCAGTTGAAAATTGCACTACCATCACCACCACCACCACCACCGCTGTCGGTCGCAACGTGTATTCCATAGGAGGAGAATAGTGGTGTTTCGTTCAGCCTTCGTCGATTTCATCCGTCCGTTTTTTGACCTGGCAGCGCACGCGCGCAGCTGTTCGGTTCGGTCCTTCGGTTGTCTACGCGCGCATCAGAGATGTCTGAACCGCATTCACCATAGACCAGATGGATCCCTTCAATTTCACCACACAGACCAACTATGGTAACACGCATGCGATACGCGGAGTGTTTGTTCGTATTTAGTTACCTTTTACGCGACTATGCGTTAACTTGGCGCCACCATACGTACGCATTTTCCACTTAGCAGCCGCACTTAGGGATGCTTTATATTGCAAGCTCGAAGGTGGTGAGCGGCAATTTTATGACAGTAGTAACGGTTGTGGCGTCAGTGTTTGTCATAAAGATCCGATATTCTTTTTACTCTTAATTTTTGACCCGTTGGGCCACAACCTTTGTTTGGTATACTTCCGGTTATATCCTCATGCTTTAGACACATTTGCACGGTGTTGACATACACTGTGTAACCGGATACCACGTGAATATAAGTCGCTGCATCTTCTTTAAACATCAGTATTGGTGAACGAAACAGGTTTGTGTCAGTCTTACTTCACCAACCACTATTCTCTGTTACCTCAATGGGGTCTACTAGATCTGCGCTCCTGAGTGATTTGACCGATTACTGCCTACTCCCGTTTATACTTCTCCACCTTACACGTCGCTGGTTGCTCTCGTCACACGCTGCACAGACGCGGTCGTTCCTTTTCCAACTTCACTGCATTTTCGTGCTATATATCTAGCCGCGCAGTAGGCCTCGTTTGCATGCGCAATTCGTGGGTCCCGGAAGTTTGGATACGGTACCTTTGTCGAACCAGCTGGTTATAAACTTCGAGTTCTCCAACCCGGACCTAGTCATCCGCGCCAACTTATGATACTGGCCATCCATGAAATTCGTGTCATTGTGACTCTCTCCTGCACTCTAGTCCGTAGCGCAGGTCTCGACGACAAATGGGATATATCTATCTGAGTGTCCGATCTGTGGTTGAGTGATTCAAACCTTTGACTTATGATCTACGGCTTGCCGCTTCGCACTTGCGTACCTGCTGGCGACCTCACAGTATCCGTCCGGGTGCATCCGCTGGTGGGTTTGTGGTAGCGAAGCGTCCGTTTGAGTCTCCAGCACACTGTTAGTACCTTGCCTAGCTGGATGGAACTGTTGAGATAGATTCCCTAGTACGTGGCCGAATAGCATGGAGAAACTCGGTCGAACTATCATGTGTTGTCTTCGCGGACTATGGCCTGAATAGCTGCTGCATCAGTGATGTTAACTGTTCCCTGATATAGCACAGTTGCAAGATCAGTAGTGTTCCTGCAATCGTCCCGTTGAATAAAACTGTTAAATTTGCAGCTTGAGTAATGTTATTCATCAAATTAATGACTACATTTTGCATCCCTCGACGATGCAAGCAGCTGCTCCCTCGAAGATGCAGATCAACAAAGTTGATGCAA